AACTTTTTTCAAGAACGACGACTTTCTTTATCGCAACAATTTCTTTGTTCCTCATTCTCTAAACTAAACAACTTGAACTACCCATCATTTGAAACCCGAGTACTTTTCTTCAGTCAGCTAATGTGCTTTATTTAATTGCAAAACTGCTTTAGTAAATACCAATTTGTCTACACCGGTGACCTTAATCAAAAATAATCAGAATATTTATCACCAGCAACTACAAAATGTTCCATACAAAAAATTTTGATTAGATTAATCAGACGGTTGAAATGTTGTAAGCATGTGGCGTAACAATGTGACGACGAACAATATCCACCCTGGTAAAATCTTCTGTACTATGACCAATCGACACTTATTAATAGTGAATAATTGTTTGTTCTAACTCTCTCTACCTCATCGGCTAGTATTGTTTCAAATAATTAATAGAAAATTAAACCTTATTTTCCGGGTCATTAAGATTAGCACTATTGAAGCGTTACTTTAAGCTTAACAAATATTATATTCTTGCAGCCGCTGACCACTGCTAAAAACACACTGCTTAGTAGAAGAATGTAACAAAAAATTCTTTGCTTTGTCCAAAAACATTTTTTTCCCTTCAACCAAAACAAAAGGGAAAAAAAAAACAATAGCTTAATTTAACAGCAAAATAAACAACGCCTAAAAAAAACATATCAAGTAAATGCAAAAATCCGTCCTGCCAAAGGTTTCTGAACTCATCGCCTCCAAATTGGTTACAACCGATTTTGAGTAAATCACCAACTTGTACAACATATGCAAGAAATGACTTTGCCGAAAAACCTTTTTAGCCTGACAAATTCATAATTCAAATACTTAATTTCTATCAAATGACTGTATACTATAACGCCCACTTCCACAATTAGATTTTTGAAAAAAAAAAGCATTAAAACAACATTATCTCTCCCAAATTAGAACTGTTTAACAAAACTGGCTGCAGGTCAGCTGTTGAAAAGTACTTTACAAACCTGACCACTGATCAATTTATCACTTTTCCGCCTTTCTACTCAGAACTCCACAGAAAACATCACTTAAATCGCACTCACGCAGTTAAAAATGACTAACAAGACAAGATATTCTCAACGAGAAACCACGCCAACCTCCCAGAAAAATTTCTCAGAACACCTTAATACCTTCGAAGAACAGTGCCTAACAACAATTGACATCCAACCAAAAAACATCCACACAGAATACAAAAATTAATTTTTGAGATAATAACCATTTCTCAAATCTCCCACAAAAGGGCCCTCAGCCCTAAATAATTATGAACGATACAGCTCTCACGCTTTTTTTTAAACTTCAAATCACAAAAACAAAGAGGCTTCAGACCGTGAAAACGTAAAGTAGAAAATAGCCGGCACCTACAACGTGCCTCACGAAAAAAATAAGCTATCTTCTTCTACGACCTTTAAAAACTCAGTCACGTTTTATTACCTCGCTCCTCCAATTAAGCAGAGGTCGCAAACTGTCAGCAGAAACTGCATACAACTTCTTTTATAGTTCCGATAAGGAAAAAGTGAACCAATCAAAACATCAGCAACCATAAAATCAATCACAAACCAATGCTAACACAACCAATCACAAAACACAGAAAATTAATGCAATCCCTAACTTATTTACCCTCATTTCCTAGCATCATTGCCGTTAAAATGACTGAAACCCCGACATCTTCCTCAGTTATCTACATCAAGTGACTTTTTCCCAGTTCTGAATCTTTACAAACGACCATTCTAAATAGGTGTACAAAATTACCATGAACTTTTCTGGAAGATATCCTCGGCCTTCTGGTGCGACAGCTTCTTTTGCGTAGTGCCCAGACAGTAAGTGCCCGCCTAATTTTTTATAAATTATACCAGGCGAATATAAATCTTACAAGAATCTATAAAAAATTCTTCCTATTTTACTAAGTTTTTCGATGCCTTTGACTGAAAAACCTCGAAGTTAAGAATATATTAATGTAAACAGTTGAGGAAGATGCCGAATACGCGATACTTAAACCAAAACGACATTCATAAGTGAGACAAATGAACTAAAACAAGATGTACAATTATTGTTATTTTAAATATTCACAAACTAGACAGAAATTTTGAAACTAAGAAAGTGCATGTCTCATTAAATGATGAAAAAGAAGAGAACACCCTAAACAACAACTGGAGCTCATAAGACAAAAAATATAAATTAAATGTTAAAACACGCAAATCAATAATACAGAACACCGAAAATTATACAGAAATCATTCTACAGAAACTTTTTTGAACACAACCATCTAAAACACCTTCACCATTAAAATCAGCAATAAATAACCCTAAAGCAGATTACAATATGCAAATTACCGCAGCAAAAAAAAACAAGTGAAAATATTATGAAAACACAATTTGCAAAACTACGATAAAAAGACAGAAGGAACGATGAAGCTCAGCTAAACAATCGAAACAGTCAGAATTTTGTAAAGGCACAAAAAAGCTTGATTACGAATGAAGTAACTTAAAAATTTTGACGGTTAATAACAATTTCTCAAATCAGATGCCACATAAATTTTCATTCAGACTGCATCATTCTTATATTACTCAATGTTCCTGCACCATGAAAATATTGAAAAATAATTGAAAAATTACTGTTCACTAAATGCAATAAAAATTCTCGCACATTATTACTAATACAATAATACACTATTAACTTTACAGCTTAGTACAATCTCTCTGTAATAAATATAAAAAATGAAAAATAAAACATACATGAACAAATAATAATAAAGAGTGAAGACAACCGACGACAAAAACTTACACTGATTCCCCTAGTATGAAGAAGCAGCACGATCTTGTCAAATCCTAGCTACTGTGAAAGCAGTTCACGAAAGTCGTTTAGAAGGGCGTACAACAACTGTTCATCATTGCTCCTCCCGTCAATTTGAACTCGGCCACTCTAAAAAATAATTGAAATCATGAATAAGTGTTATTATCTAAGCATAACCCTGTAAAACGTCACAAGAGCGAAAGTCAAGGATATACAAAAGTAAATAAAGGAATAAAATATTGGCGGTAATTTAAAATTAGTAAAAAACATAAAAAAATAAAATAAAATGTGAAAAGACAGACAAGCACTACCTTTAACTTCACCAAAAGACATAATGGGTCCATTCGGACAGCGTGATGGGCGTATAAAGACGCACAACCTTCCTCTTCTTCAACGACTAAAAATGTTTCGTAAAAGGTTCTGATGAAAAACACTATTTCCAAATTTTAAAATTTTATTTTCTAAGTGAAACAAAACATTCAAACTACAGAGCTAATTAAGTATTAAAAAAACTTAGATTAAAGCTCACCATTAAAATGACCATAAAAACATATACGCTGAAGCAGTTCCTTCCATGAAAACGATGTGTTGAACTGAACCGAAGACTTTTTACTTACATCACCTGAAGCCAAAAGTACTTCGAATCCCTCACTGAAAAACCGTCCATTAAAATGTCAATTGAAAAAGAGAGAAAATAGAGAACAACAGAGATAATAATATATTCAAACCAGCTAAGAAGTTCACCAGATGAAAAAAATTGAAACTTCTTATCAAAAGTAACTGATGAACAGTAACCTTCCAACTGTTCCTGGAGTAATAAAAGCTGTGCTCGGTATTAATATATGAAAATCCAATTTTTCTTCCACTGATTCATCGTTTTCCTAAAGAATCAAGACTAAAAAAATTCAAAGCCTCATATGACTCAAGTCTGAAAAATTGAATAACATCAAGAGGTCTACCACAACAAAGAAATAATACAATACAGATTCACAAAAAAAAAAAAATAAATAAAAATAAATAAATAAAACACGAAGTGAAGACTTCACTGCCTTCGAAAGCCACACGTACATTAACAAAATAGGTCAGTGTTCCTCGTAAACGCTGCGAAACGTTCATGGCCTCAACGTTAAATTTGAAGGCGTTCTCCGTCGAAACTCCGGGAGGTAGTTGAAATTTAAGAACAATGCCACCCTGGATAGAATTTGTTTTTTTAAGAAGCGTATACTTTAAATAATTTTAGATAAAAGTCATTTCTCAATACCAGCGAAGAAGAAGCAGGGTCCCGCACTAATCTGGCATTTAACGTGTCAAGAATGTTCATTTCAAGCTGTCGAAGAGAATCACCACCTTTATTTGTGAACACAACGCCAACAGTTACTTCGTGGCTCCCACTCGCGGGAGATTGGACGTCGTATGTCTAAACCATAATTTACCTTGGTATAACAAGATATAATCAAAGTAAAAATGTGATAGCCCAAGCTGGTACCGAAAACAAAAATGATCTAAGATATAAAAACCACTACTCTCAAAAATATAAAGAAAAGAAAGTCAATGCATTAATGCAGAAGCTAACTCACTAGTTTCACACGATCATTCTCCGCAAGCAGACGATACGAACTCAGTTTGGGCAACTCACTTTCATTCTCATAAACGACCGTTTCTCCAGGCCCACAATTTTCCTTCACTACAGTTTGATGACCATTGACATCTCCATTACATCCTGGATCATAGTTTCCTTCCGTCCCATAATCCTTGAAAAGCCATTATCTAATTTTAACAAAGACAGCTAAGCTAAAAAACAGTAAAACCTTAACCGCTAAACGTGCACAACAATAACTTTACTATAATTTACTTCATTATGATCCTTAGTATCACCAGAAACAACTTTTTTGTTTTTCTTCTTCGATTCCTTCTTTCTTTCGAGCTAAAAAAACCGAAAAATAATTTCCGAAAACAATCAAATTTCATGAGGAAAAAAAAAATTGAAGAGCCAACTTTCTTATTTTTTAACACAGCATCTGAGTGAGTCAAATCTATTCCCACATCAACTGATGGGATCAAAGATTGGGATTCTACTGACATCTCTGCCACACCGTTTTCCTGACTGCTAGACTTCTTATGCGATTTTGTTTTCCTAAACAATTAATAAAAACTATTGATAAAAAAATCAAAAATCTATTTAAAAAAAGCACAGTTATTGACTTTTCTTTAGTTTTCTTTGTTTTCTTCAGCTTCTTCGGCTCCTCCGTATTCCCTGGAGAGGTGATCACATGGTATGGACTACGACGACTATGACTGCCTGCGGCTAAATTATCAGTAGACTCTTTAGATGTTGCACCTCGGGACAAATCTGTATTACGAGATGACCCTTGCATCATCGCTCGTCGTTCCTTCTCCTCTCTCAAGGCCTCCTCCAAATCAAAATCTAGTGCTTTAGTCACTGCATCCATTTCGTCCTATAAAAATAGCAAAATATAAATTTTGAAAGAACAGTGAGACAAGAATACTCGATACAACCCTTGAAGCCAAGAACATACTGACCCTCCAATAGAAAGAAAAGCCATAATAAAAGATGCTACAGAAAGCTAGAAAAAAAGTACACTCTTGCCTCATTTTCACTATCTTCTTCGTCCGTTGTTTTCGCATTTTCAGGTAATTCACCATCCGCACGGTTGACCTACAAGAAATCCACGATTCAAATTACTTTCAACTTCGAAGTTCTAGCAAGTCGTGAAAACACTTCTGGTACAATCTCAAAACTAACCTGATGTACAATTACAAGCTCATCGTCATCACTCGAGCTTACAACTGCCTTCGAAGTCTTTCCCTTCTTAGTCCTCCTCAACCTCTTTTCTTTTTTTGCGGCCCTCCATGATAAAGTTGACTGCTGCTGTTCCATATATCGATCTAGCCCAACAACACCTTCACATAAAAAACTCTCATGTACTGTAATAATGAAAAAAAGTTAGACGATTGATAAATACCGGGAATTTCTAGCGGACTTTGTAGCTCCGTAACCGTAGATTCGCATTTCTCTGTTGAACTTAGAGCAGTAAATCTTGTTGGACGTTTTGCAGATGGTTTTGAGTCTCCTTTAACATAATATGGATTATTTTCGACCTCAGCCCTCCGCCGTTCTCGACGCTGAAAAATTTCCTACTTGCACAACGAATAATTTAAAAATAACAAAGAAGGATGAGTGAATCCATATAAATTCAAATTCAAGACGATAACCTCCCGAGTAAAGTGACGAAAAAAGTCATCAAAATACGCGACCACTCATCCCAACTCCTCCATTCCCTAAAAGCAAAAAAAGATTACTTCACATCACTTCCTAAACATTACCTTCGATAATTCCTCTTCAGTGATTTCTTCTACTTCTTTTTCGCTGGGCTTCTTCGCTTCTTTTTCCACACTTTCTTCTTCTTCCTCTTCGCTTCCATATTTTGGAAAATAGCCGAACCTAGTAAATTCAGAACGGAGTCCTTTACGGCCAAACAAATCTTCGTCCATTTCGACTGCTTCCTCTAATTCGTCACTAGGAGGCGGATCATGAATCCATTTGTCCAAATCCAAGCTAAAAACTTCCGACTTAAACACCCAAGAAAGTAAGCAAGTCAGTTAGAGAAAACTAGTTGTTTACGATACCCGTCTGGCACAGGAACCTTTCTTTGAGCCTTTGAGGCAACAGGATTCAGTTCGCCTTCAAAGAGTTTAGCGAAATCTTCACCAATGTTCTCCCGTTTACTATGGTACTGCTCAACTAAGCGCAGTATCGCCAGCAAAGTACAAGCCTTAATGTAAAAAATAAATATCGGCAAAACTTTGAAAGGTCATAAACAGCATGTAAAATTCTCAGCAAAATCAGCTTTCTGTGTAAAAAACGTGAAAACCGAAACAAACATACCCTTTCTTGAGTTTCCAAATGATCACACAACTCAAACTGAGGCAATTTCGATAGCATCAAATTGTCAAGTGATTCAATAACATCCCAATCCTGTTCTGCTTCTGCTTTCAAAAGGAGTAACGAGTATAGTTTTGCAATATTTTGAACATATGCACTAAGAACATGGCCCGGCATCACATTAGTTTTGGTTCTCAACATTGATTCCAAGACTGACTGCGGATTGCAAACGTGCCTAAAATGAAAAGGAATAATAATAAAAAGTATTATAGCAAAATAACAGCAACCAACCATAAATTGTTGAGTTTATACAAGTCTTTTGAGTTTCAAACTCACTCTGCATATTCTCCACAAATCCACGCAGCTGCTAGTAGAACCTCTGCAATATTAGAGCGATGTTGCTCGCTACCAGCAAGTAAGAGAGGAGCATTTTCAACAAGTAAAGCCATTTGCGATACAGCAAAGTGTCTAATTGACTGTACTCTGACTGTAACGTCTTGCATCTGTAAATAACATGCAGCGAAAAAAAAACTGATCAGAAAATGAAAAATTGAGTAAGTAGAAAGCCTATGCTCCAATTTGTACACTCATACCCAATTAAATTATCTTGGCGTTTTCCACTGAGTTAGCAACGATGTATAATAAAAAATTATAAAACAAAGGAAACCCAAAACTGCATTTCTAAAAAAATATGAAAACGCTTTTAAACCCAAACCTGTTGCGCGATTAAACTCCCATGTTTTGTACCCTCAACTTTCGTCAATTCAACTAACACAGAAATATACCTTAAAATCATGTAATATAACAGCTCTACAACGGAAGCAGAAACAGAATGTATAGCGCAACAAATTTCCTAGTTGAATATTCAAAACACTACGACAGAACTTTTTTGAAAAAATGGTTTTTGACTTAAATAATAAACTTCACCATTCAAAGTTTGTTATGTGCTGGAAATTATTGTATGAGCAAATGGAAATTATTCTTGACAGCAGTTCGTCTCTGTAATACGACCCCTCGGCAGCATCGACATGATCCATGAGTTTCCGTACAATTTCCATAATATTTTTCTTCGAAACCATTCCATACAGCAAATCCAATGCTCTGAATACCCTACCGTAATTCAAACCGAAAAAAAAACGCCTTATCCAATACCACCCTTGCCATATATAACACAACGCCCCTCACCGTCAACCTAGACCCTTGAACCTAACTTCACTCAGTAACCCTACGTGAACACTAAAAAGCCCTAATTAATGATCTGCCTCTGCATCGATCATCGCTCCTCAAGAACATGGGGCTGCTCTTTCAGTAAAACGTGCAATGTTATCTTCATCGGCAGACAAAGTTGTTTCTTCACCAAAACTACCAATTTGAAATGTGCAACGTTCTACTGGTTTGAATGAAAATGTATGACTTCTCTAACTCTCTTCTACCTCCAATGTCACATACAGTACACCATACAGAAATTTTTTTTTAATTTTCCTCAAAAATCAAACTAAAAAGAAAATTATGGTAAACTTACATCACGCTTCTCGTAGAAACTTCAAAATGCCGTAATTTGTTCATAAAATGAAAAAAATTTTTACCTGAGACGTATACTTTCATCTCTATCATCAAGACAACGCAACATTATGTCTTTGTGTGCTTGTACAGCTTTTGGATGATACTGCAGTATTTTTCCCATAGCCAACAAGCCCAAGTATTTCAAATTTTGATCAGAATCTTCAATGAGTACTCCCAATTTCTGGACACACAGCTAAAAGATAAATTTATCGAAAAAAGACATTTTGAACATTTCAAAAGTGATCAAAACAAAGCAGAGAAATGTCAGAAAAAACCGACTTGTATACTCGCTGTATGGTCTCCAGGAATACCAGATGAAACGCTAATCAAAACTGCAATACAAAAAAATAAATCCACAAATTCACTGCTTGCTTATATTAATCCAAATAGTTATTAAAAAACACAAGTTAAGCTAAGAAAGTCTTTGACTTGCAAAATAAGTATGTAAATGAGTTTGAAGCACCTGCAATAACTGTATTGATACATTCGTAAAGGAGCGACATAGCTGATGTGCTGCAAATCAATTAAAAAAAAATAAATGACTCGCAAAAACACCAAATAAATACTTAATAGTGCTGTGACTGTTACAGCAATCAACGCTTCATCTTCAAATACACGAAATACAAAAAATTTACCTATTAATAAGATTAGTTAACGGCTCCAACAATTTCTTACCCAGTCGTGGCTCGAGAGGAACCAAAGCACCGAACTAAATTTTATCATACATTATTGCAAAAAAATTAATGTGGCAACAGTATAAATAATTCAAGCTGTAAACAATACAGGCGCCTCTTTACCAGTTTTATAATTTTGATCAACATCCAATTGTTAGATGATGTAGTCATAAGCTTAAAAAACACGGGAGCCAAAGTAAGGTAATTCTTCGGATTTTTGCGTGCTAATTCGCAAATAACGTTAACGGCTGCACTTTGAACGCCTGAAACAAACAGGTTTTCAGTTACAACAGCTCGATATTCTATAAAAAGCCAAATCATAATAAAGAATATATGATGAAATTAAGAGCAAATAGCATAATTAAATACTAGAAACTCATATTCCTTACTGTTGCTCTAAAAAAATTCGGGAGGATGTCCTCTCCTAGATCAAAAAAAACTTGAAAATAAAAAAAAAATTTTTATGCGTCTGACTTAGGCCAAATAAAAAAGAATACGCACTCACCTGCATCAGGATCTTCTAACTTTTCTTTTAACCGTGGAAAAGTCGACTTTAAGCATTCTGGGTACTTTAAAAACATTTTGTACAACAAGAGAACACCACGCTTCCGGATATAAGGACGTGTGGAAGACAACTTAAAAAACTTACTTCTTAGAAAATCACTTATAATTTGTTTTTGAGTATGCGTAAGAAAAAATAAAAGCTTACTAGATTTACAATGTCCGAGGCAAGGTCCCTTGCAAGATCCGCGGTTACGAAGCATGCCAGAGCACCAAGCGCAACCCCAGTATCGTACATGTTCCCACTATGTAAATCTTTTCGAATCATATTGGTCGCTAGCATTAAAACGTCAGTGCTATCATGAAAACATTGCGACGCAGCCAAATAGCTGAAAAAGTTCGTTCTAAATCCCTTTGAGAATAATGCATAAACTGCGACCTTACTGAAATTAGGTACTGAGGAAGTGGTACAAGCAGCGCAGAAGACGTGAAAGACCTAAATACTGAGAACTATTGATAAAACATAGTATTTCCCACCCAACTCGCTTTTCTGTGAATTTGGTAGAGGCCATGACTTCAATAATGTTGAAAGACGCCCACGATATGTCATATCCCATCATTTGTAGCTAAAATAAATAAAACAACTTTATATGGTAAAACAAAACGAAAAAGTTGCTAAATAGAATAAAATTACAAACATAGAGAAATTCTGCCGAAAAAAATATTGCAAGAAATTACATAAGCTAATTTCTCAACAGCATTGGCCTTCACAAATGTAGGATCCTGGCGTAGTTCGACTTTTATTTCTTCAATACATGACGCAATATACCGAGCCTGGAAAGAAAACACATGAATCTAGAAATGAAGAAATACTATGTAAAAAAAAAAGCAAAATTTAACACTGCCTTTCCTTTTAAGTTGTAAAGTATATAATAGTTTTAAAAAGGTACGCTAAGCAAACAACAGAAATCAGCCAACACAGCAAAGAATTTTGTTGTATTCTTTCATTCTAAAAAACCTACACAATTTCTCATCAAAACACCATTTATAGCACTTACTTCATTATCCTTATTATTCCTGATACCACGTATCAAGTCAGATAAACTCTTATCAAACAAACGGTCCAAGTTGCTGCGCACTTTCCGCAGTGCCATGGCCTGTAAACAAGCCGACTGAAAAAAGTTAAGCAACAGTGTACAAAAACGTCCATTTTTAAATTTTCTGTATCAAACGTCACATGCAAAATTACTAAAATCAGCAACTTTAGGAAGTGATAGAAAAACGTTCAAAACTGTTTAACAAAGGACATTTCAGCGGTCATACCATAGACTAGCAAAACAAACGTTCAGTACATGGAACAAAAAAAAAACTATAACACTTCCGTCCACTTAAAATAGTGACCTCATTGGACAAAAAATTCCGTATTTCAGTTTCCACAAATGTAGCCAACTAATAGCATATATATTTTCTGTGCTAATATCACAAGTAAAAGAAGAAAAGCTGAATAAAGAAATGGACAAAATAAGCACAACTGGATAATAAACATCGCTTGAAAACTTTCACGTTAAGAATGGCAGTTAATAACCAGCCAAAATGATGCAGCTAAATAATGAGAGTCAGTCGTTTTTTTAATGTCTAATAATGTCAATGAAATCAGTAAACAGCAGATTATTGATGCATATACAGAAGCCAAATTATCATTTTCGAAGAGAAAAAAAAAAAA